AAGACTCCACTCCCCACAAAAAAAAAAAAAAAAAGCCCTGGCCAGGTAGGAAAGCAGAACCTACGACCAACAGGAATCACATGTCACTGTACCAAGCTCCAAAGGGTGGGAGCAGAGGAACTGTAGTTTGGCCCGCCAACGGGGCCGGGGGGCCAACTATAGGCGATAGTATAAGACTCCAACACAGGAACAGGAAGGGTTGCTTGCTGAGGTGATTGGGGAGATCTGCCTCCAATTCCCTCAGAAGCAGACATGTGATCTGTGTATACTACCACTCAATTTAGACTTAATGTAGGCTGTCAGGTAGGCAAGCAAATCAGGCAATTCTGTAAGCTCTACTTCCCTATTTCTGTACTTTGTAGGTGAGCCCTGCAGCTGACTGTCATCACAATTATATGTCTGATCAAACAAACAGCTACAATGTTCAGAGACGCTGGACCTGCTTTCCAGCAGGTGCTGCTCCCCACCAATAGATGGAGCCTCCCTGAGAATGCCAGAGGTGCCTTCTCTTACCAGCACCCCTAGCATCCACTCGGGTTGTTCTTTCTAAAAGAAAAAAGAAAAAAAAGAAGGGAATGAGTTTGCAGAATGCAGGCGGGAACCCCCCTGAGGAGACCACGTGGTGGCGGTCGAAACAGGTTGCAATGGGGATACCTTTCCCACCAGAGACAGTTTCTTTACTTCATTGTTGTACGCTCTTTGACTTTTCTTTTTTTTTTCTTTGACAAGATCGGTGGCGGGTGTGGTGGAGGTGCTGATAGGAGCAGACAACTCCCACCACCGCTCCCGCTTTGTGATCGCTCTGTTCCATTGGTCGGGAGCGGCACCTGCTGGAAATCGGGTCCACCGTCCCTTTACATCATTACATTGAGTCACAGTTACATGAATTCAACGCGTACTTTGCTTGATCACTTGTACCGTGCGTATTCTTGTCAGCTTCTTTTCTCTGTTGACTAGTGTAAAGGGTGACTACCTTACCTTTTTTTTGTCTTTTTTTTTTAAGGGTGACTACCTTATCTTGTTGAGATATAATCATCGAACTGACCGGCCGCAGGAGCAGAATCCCTTCCTTTCTTTCTTTTTTTTTTTTTTCTTTTTTTTCTTTTTTTTAACCGAGACATATGTGGCAACCTGCTATTGGAGGTGATACGAGCATCCTCCAATCGCAAGCCCCAGTTTATAGATGGTTCCAATCTCTTGGTGGGGAGCATCACCTGCTGGGAACCGGGTCCAGCGTCCCACTAACAAGATTGGAGACAATATACCTGGCAGAACAGCATTGATTGCCCTCTCACGAGGGGATTGACTGCCCGCCCAATTATCAGCCAGGTCACAGCAGGAGCAGGATCCCACTAGGAGGCAGATTTACTTAAGTACTGCAGCTGATCACTTGTGGGATGACGAGCCTGGCGTCGAATGCTTTTCATCATGTGGGCCAAGAGAATTTGTGTTTTTGAAACTATGTTCAGTTTGGGCCAGAGAATTTGTGTTTTTGAAACTATGTTTAGTTTCTTTCGTTTTTGGTCGTTGGCTCTCCAGCAAACAGTTTTGCTGGCGCTCGTCCATCGGTTGAGTTTTTTCTTTCTTTCTTTCTTTCTCTTTTTTTTTTCCTGTTGAATTTTTTTTTGGTGGGGGGGGACTTTCTGTATTCACACCAATGCAAGCAGGTAGATTTTCAGAGACCCGCAAATGGAAAGAGGGGATGACAGCAGTACCCTTTGGACTGTGAACAGCGACAAAGTATTACGTCACAAAGAAACGATAAAACAGAAATACAGAACAAAAGGAAAACAGTCCTTTTGAACTGCTTTTGAAATTTGAATCCTTTTCATTATTGTCTGAAAGTCTAATCCACCGGCTATTGGGGTCGCATTACAGGGGCGAGGTCCCACTCGCAAAGAGGATTGGATTCAACGCCTGAATCCGGATGTGTTTGTGGAGAGGTGCAGAAAATCGCTATTGAACTTATTTTCTGCTTCTTAGCTTTAAAACCCCATCCAGATTCAGCCCCTAAATTCAAATCCACTTTGCTAGTGGGACGTCACCCCAGGTACTTCAGAGTTATTTATCTGATTCCATTGCAGCTCAGATCCATTTATCAGCAGTTTATGGGTATAGCATTCAGCCACATGGGCTGGGTACATCTACCAGCCCAGACTGAGATTTTCGTTCTTCGGGCCGTCCGCGACAATGATGAACCGACGGGCCACCACCAGAGCGCCCAAATTTATCGGACTAGAAATGCTTCTAGTATATTTTTCCTTATGGGAAAAGTACTTCCTAAAGTCGTGCCCGTATACAAGCCACGATTTTAGGAAACGTACAGCCCACTACAGGAGTGCCCAAATTCATCCAACTAGAAACACTTCTACTCTATTTTTCTCGACGGCCGATAGCTGGGCCAAGTACTGGTGGTTTAATTTTGGACATTTGTAGAGACGATCTGGGGGATTGCCCTGTAACCTGTTGATAGCAGGAGCGTGAGCCCTGGTAGAGAGATCTGGGGGGGGTGCCTTGGGCCGGGCATTCCAAGCGAAAACCAAGGGTTGCTGTTGGGACGACGCTGGCTGGAGCTGGGGTGAGTCGTGTTGCCCTGTAACCTAGCAGGGTGGGGGCATGAGGCCTGGGAGAGCTCGGCAGGGAATTAGACAGTGTTAGAGAAATTTGAGAGTGTTTTGTCAGGAGTCCAGGGGTTCTGAGCATTCGAAGGACTTTTGTGGTAATGGCTGCTTGAGTAGCGTAGCAAGAGGTCAACAATTATCCGCGTTTTTCCTAAATCTTCCTGAACTTTTTCATAGTTTCAGATTGTTCTTAGCCGAAGCCAGGTAATGGCCCTGGTATTTCAAATCATTTGTATATTACTATATTCTACATGGGACGCTGGGCCCGGTTCCCAGCACGTGTTGCTCCC